TTTTTTTTATGATGACCGATTTTATGGCGAGTTAGCGCACACAATTGAGGCACTTTTTGAAAGGATCTGGTTAAAGCTTACCTGTTGTCGGTTACTTGGAGTAAATGGTAACAATGTAGATACATGAAACATGACCTCATGGGCCTGATATTCGCAATAGATCGAATGTGTACCGGTAGTATCGCCTCGTGTATCGAGACCACCCTACAAAAAGATGGATCAAAGATTATCAGGAAATGAGCTTCTTTAGTGCAGCCACCGAAGCAATAAACTATACCTTGTACTGATCCCATCCTTTAAGACGAACTCGTTGTCCAATAAAATCCAAAAATTCATCGAATGCATTGGAGGAATGTTCTGGAATTCGAGTTGCTTTCAGAGTTTGAGCAATGTTCCATAAGAAGGAGTTCCGTCAATGAGAACAAGCAGAATTTGGGAGTAGTTCAAGTCTCGAATCACCGGCACGGTGTGAGAAGTCCATGGATTTTTTTATATGTGCAACATGTGCAACATCCTCCCTCATACAGCAAAAGTATGGGTAGGCGTATGGGAGTATGGGTTGTGAAAGGGCGGGTTTACAGCGTGAGCCGAGCATCGACCTAATATTCTTCTGATCTGCGGATAGCAAAATCATTACAATGTTTTCCTTTTGTGCCATACAAAAGGAGAAATCTCGAGTGGAGGGAACCCGCAGATAAGTTATGCTTTTACCCCGAATTTTTCCTGACTTGAGGATGACTAGACTGAATTCAATCTATGAAATACAAAACATTAGGAAGCATTGTGGCAGAAGCTGTCAATCAATGTCTTGGGATGCTTACAGTAATTATTACAGTAACCGTCCACTTACCATTATTATACATATGTTCTTCGGTACTTTGACCGGCTCTACACAGCATGATGCCAACTTTATATCGGGTATAGATTGGCTGCTCGTCCATTTTCATTAGCATCTCCTCGACACGAGGAGTCTGTAACGATGGTCGCATACAGCCGAAGCTCACCCGTGGACAGACCTGAAAAGGGACAGGACAGTGATTCAGAGTAGAGGCAGAAGAAAATTTGCAAAAAAAAANAAAAAAAAAGAGTCAGCTTACCATCTCCATGAGTTCCCTCATCAATGGTCGTGTTGAACGATCACCACTATCGGAAAGCGCTTCTTCTGGTACAGCTACTCGCATCGTTCGCAACTGAAATAGTTCAAAGGTGATAATAAATTCTCTTGGCTTTGATCTGGCCCATTTTGGTATTAATTCCCAATCGCTTCATTCAGAACCACAGAGGCGATCTGAGCTCGTATGTGGCCTACACAATGGCATGTGGTGTCCAGCCAATGTACCAATCGGTGATTGATCCCCCAGAGGTATCTTCTACCGACTAGCTGGCCTTGAAAGGATGGAATGTCCACCCTTCAGTGCTCACTGCGAGCCCATATCTATTGGTTTTCATCAAAAGATGGACCAAAAGAGGGTTGGAAATCCCTGTGGCAGGAATGCGATTTGTTCACCCCCAAGACTTCCAGGCCGTCAACTAGCAGTTAGTTGTTCTGGCTGTGTTCAGTTTCCAGTAATTTTGAAATAAAAAAATAAATGTGCAAAAATAGCTCACATCGCTTATTCTGACGATCATTCTATAAATAGCCGATCCAGATCGATCACCCTTTCTGTCTGTCGTTTCACGAACCATACTAACAGCTATAGGGCCAAGCTCATCGTCCACACCAAAGTATTCTACATGTGCTGAAAAAATAGAAGTTTTTTAATCATTCTGATCATGCTTCTGATCATCATGACTAAATTCTTTGGAGGTTAAGCCATGCTTCAACGGAGGTTAGTTAGTACGAAAGATGAATTTGTTGAAGTCCACGTTACATATCTCATGGCAGTCCAAAAATATTCACGATTATGCGGGTATGATGTTAGCAAGGGTTTCTTCGAAAAATGATGGCAATTTTCCATTTAAATGTTCAATCTCCGAAAAAAAATGAAATCAACACTCACTGTGTTAGCACTAAATGTGTCCNAATGTCATTACTCACCAGGTTATGTCATCGCCGAAATTCTCTGTGTAATCTATGCGTAGGGCTATAAAAAGCCCCATTAGTCGTAAATAAACGTAATGCCCCGCAGACATTGACCCAAACTGACAAATGAGGAACAAATTTTGAGGATTATGAGGAAACCTTGTAGTTACTAAACGTGTCAGTGCAAATTGGAAAGTGATTCGTCCCCACGTGTGCTCAGACGAATTACTTAGTGGGTTTGACACTAGGGTACCTAACTCCGATATGGGTAACTACTATCAACACGCATGAGCAGTAAAAGTGAAAAATATTAACTTTAGCCGTTAAAAAATGAAAGACAAGAACTACGGGCTGTACCACTATACTATACTATTTCTGTATTCTTAGTACTACTATCATTACTGATGTTAGCATTACTATTTCTAGCATATTTCTAGATCAGTAAAATGATGGCAAACCTCGTCCTGCAAAGCAGTGCCGATAGTAATAGGAACCGATGTCCTGTGGTTCGATAACATTTTTCGGCTGTCGTGCGGCACATAGTCGACCACCCAAATAGACATTGGAAACGTCTTCGAGTATACCGGCTTCAGCAGCGGTATGCTAAATAAAAGCAGGTTTACAGTACAGCAATCCGCTACAGTAATCTTAGATATGGGAACGAGTATGATTGGATTTTCTAACACCCTGATATCTCACTATTCATTTTCACGAACTTTTCGAGATCTTTCAAAATGGTTCCGACACAGAGTATTCTAATGAAATGGTAATAGTTCCTTTTGGTCAAGCTTACCTCTCTCATCCAACTCTCGCATTCATGTGCTTCCAATGGACCGTCGCATGTGTGCCGTGAAAGGGCCAATCGTCGGGTCGGCTCACTTCCCAGTTCATTTCTGAAAAGAAACAAGTATAATAAGTAAATCAGTGCAGGAGCAAGTACAGTGAGGAGCCCGTGCCTGAGCCCAAAGAACTTTATAGATCTTCTGGAAAACTAATCGAGTGTAAAAAAGATTTTAGCCACTTTCAATAACAAGGACAAGGGGGTGAGGCTTAGAAGGTACTACAAACGGCATTTATACTTGCATGCTACAAAAAGAAAACCTTATGAAATAAGCAGTGCAATAACCCTGGAATTGGCTGGAAAGAATCAATTTTGTTTTGCACTTTGGCACATAAATTAGGATAATTTGGTTTTTGAACGTTGAGATTTTTTTGGAGCCCAAGGCTCTATCGGCTCTCTACAATACCCAATTTTTTCCCACCCGGAAACTAGCTGAAGAGTCCATACTGGAAGCATTGAACTTGAAATTAGCACTAATAACTTGCTTATTTATTTGTTTATTTGGTTGTGCTTTCAACAGGAAGGCCAGAAAATCTCGAACGACGCTCCAAAGAACGATCATCGTAAACTCTGATTCTAAGACCCTCTTAATCACTGCGTAGGCGAGAGGGCGAAAGCCGACATGCCGGCCGCGGAAGCTTCAAAGACCACTTCGGACGTACGAAAAAACCGACACTTCCACCATTTCCTCCTCATCAGTCATCTGCAGCTAAAACTGGCCGCATAAGAATGTTGCCACGCATTCTCACCATTTCTTTTTGTTGTTAATTTTTTGATTAGTGTTGCAAATTTACAAGCACGAAGAACAAGCCATGAACGAAGTTCTATTAAAATCTCAGGCTGGTCGAGGGAAATAAAAAATGGGTGGTCTCGAGGGTCTCAAAAAGTCCAGGGATCAAGAAAAAAAAGTAAAAGGAACTCGAATGAAGGGGGCTCACCTAAACGCTGGGCAACTAGCCAGCATTTCGTTCGATTTTCCATCACCGGAATCGTCTTCGCATGGCGATTGCGCTTGAGAGGCTCCTGGAAAAATCTAATATAGAAAGTAAACGGATAAAGTGGCTTGCAGTGTTATCTATCGCTTTTAAAATCCGCCGTGCAGTCGATTTGCATTTAAATTCGTTGTCGCTCCAGTGCCACCAAGGTTCTTGACAAACCTTCATTACTGGCCATTTACTTGATCGCGCCGTGACGGAAAGTTGAGATTTCTTTTGACAGGAATAGCTCTAACTTGGCAATGGTAATGAGTTGTTTTCAGAGAAAAAGGAAATGCTAAAAGGAACATGGTTCGAATGGATTCAGTCGACTTGAACGCGGAAGTTGAGAAAAATGAACGAACATATGTTAAGGACAGTTTCTTTTTCTCGTTGTAAAGTCATTTCCGGTTTGTTGCAGGATTGCTGGCGGTTTGAGCCGAAGGATCGATGTGCGACCACCCTCTCATGGACCGAGTTTGATTCAGACTTCACTTTGGTTACTTTGAACAGAAAGTTTCTTATCGTTGCCTTAGGGTCAGGTGCCACCAAAATCCGGACCGCCCAGTCTTCATGGTAGCCATGCCCAGACTTCTATCTTTTCACTGCCATACTGACAAAGGAGAAACGAAATGTAGTACTAGCTTGTCAATAATAATTTTAAAGAAGCAACTTTGTTGGGATACACCATGCATTCGACTTCAGATCAGGATTACAAAGAGAGAAAACAGGGACCAACAGAATAGAATAGCAAAAAAGACAAAGTTTTAGTAAACATACCAGTGGGTCTATCATCGAGCAGTGACGGATTGAGACCAAGTGACCAAGCAGAAGCAAGTGAAAGGCAGTCATGGAATGCAATGAGACGCGGATACGGTGGCCGCCAATCACTAAAACGGAATATGTTGCTAGAACGATAAAGAAGCCAGAACTTCAAGATTCTCCGAGCTTTTCCATTCTACCGCAGGTTGAGAAGAGCAGGTTATTCTTTTCTGTCTCTTGAGTAACAAAAAATCAGAATGACCAATCAGTTCATTGTGAAAAGTCCGCTAGGACAGCAAGAGCATGGCTCACTCTCAGCACCAATGTGAGCACCTACTGAATAATTGGAGCTGAGTTAGCTTTGAATAGCTTACAATTTATAACAAATGCCCCAGCTCGAGCAGATCCTCACTCATTTACACTCATGCATGCAGAATTCACGGTATCAATCGAATAGAAACACATTCACCCTGCACTGGGTGCCGCCCACCCCTTCAACTGAACAATGCGTCGGGACGTAGAGATCTTTGATTTTGCTTTGTCACCAAAGAAAGAAGGGATGTTGCACCCAATTTCCCCGCAGACGTTCTCACAAAGCGCCGAAAGATGATATTCAGATTAGGAACTAATCCTATCGGGGCCGTTTGTGGACAAAAGTACACACGGTTGACGAAGCCATTTCTTTTGACGTAACCATTACTGCGCATCAATCAGTTCCTTCAAAAAAACGTCAAAATAATTCCTCTAAGTCTTATTCGTTACTATTCTGCTACTAAGTGCACATCAATATGAGAAAATGATTTTCAAAAGAAAAAACGAAAGTAAAAGAGCATAGTAGCGAGAACGGAAGTGATCCCTCCATGGGAAACTCTGCGTGGAGGTTTCAGAGCCTCATAACTCATACAAGTTTCAGAAGGTCATGACAGCTCGTCTATCTTAAGGTATAATCTCATTTTTTGCAGCCCACCAAAGTGATTTATACAACCTGAAAGGCGATTTGCAATAAAAGAAAGGCAATAGAGGAAAAATATCTCCAAAATCGAACTAGCGACTANAAGAGCATGGCTCACTCTCAGCACCAATGTGAGCACCTGCTGAATAATTGGAGCTGAGTTAGCTTTGAATAGCTTAGAATTTATAACAAATGCCCCAGCTCGAGCAGATCCTCACTCATTCACACTCATGCATCCAGAATTCGCGGTATCAATCGAATAGAAACACATTCACCCTGCACTG